ACTTGAAATGGCGATGTATAATTCCAAAGGCCCCTTGATGTGGAGGAATTTATGAACGGATGATTGGATTAATAAAGAAAACCTTAAGGAGAGTTTCGTAAGAAGATTATTAAAGGAGAAGGAATTTATCCTCAATACTCAGCCACTAGCTTACATAAATTTCGAGGATTCGACAATACTAAGACCAACTGATTTCATCATCCCAGACGCATGTCCAACAATACCAATTGCTTATCAGGATGAACATACCTCTTATCGACTAGAATAATAGGGAAAACCTTCTCAAATATTGGTCCAATACGTAAAAATAATATTTTTTTATATATTTTGGAAAACATGAAAGGAGGAAACTAGCTTGAGAGAACATAAATCTCCGAAAGGCGAAGAGATTAGAGCTTCTATTGAAGAAGAAATAGTAGTAGTGAACGAAACGAACGCTCCTCGTGGTACATGGAAATTAGCAAAAATAAAGAAACTCAACGTGAGTCAGGATAAACGAATAAGAAGCGCATTAATAGAATTACCTCGAGGAACTCAAATGAATCGCCCTATTAATATGCTGTATCCTCTAGAAATTGAAACTATGGAAGGGCAAGAGGAGCAACAAAAAAAACTACAAATGAACCGAAGCAAACTGACAATGAGAAAGAACCGATTGCACGACGAATTAAGAGTGCAATAAAACAACAAAAAATTCCCACCCAAATCACCTAACTTCCTACGTCGGAAGTGTCGCGAATTTTAATATCGCGAAGCATTAAATAAATGTTAACAATGCTTAATATAACAATCCATTGATGTTTCTTTTACAATTCATCGTAATGGTTTAACTGACCTTTGATCTTATATCAATTCACATAATATCATGTAATGTCTATTGCAACCCATTGTACTTTCCTTTGTGATATCCATTTTTAAACCTATTGTTAAAGTTACTTACTATCATTCTTTGCACAAAAATGTCTAATTATAAACCACTCCCACATTTTAACAAATTGCTATATAAGGATCACCATTGCTAAAAGATTTAGTATATGTGTAATTATCGCCAAGGACCGACGATTCCAATTTCAATTGTTCTCTATCAACGTTTTGTCCCATTACTTCTGCTAATAAAGAACTTGGATTATATTTCTGTTACCTCACGCATTTACATTTACGTCCAAGACAATCTCCTTGCGATCAAACACCTCTCCCAAAATTATTAATTAAACAATCAAAACCTTCCACGACAACGTTAGACTATGAAAGTCAGTCACAATCATTTATAAATTCAGCGCCACTGGTGCTAATGTCACCACAGCATTGCATTATGTTTTTCATTGTATTATCATTTTATCCAGTGCTTCCCATCTACCTTGCTTTATCCCTTTTTAATGTTCTGTCCATTGTAGACATTGTTGTTGATTAAAACTCCCTTATGTGACATGCATATTCTATTTTAATCAAATCTATAGGCAGCAATGCATAAGTTTGAACATATATTGCTTATCAGTTATTTTACTGTATTATATTTTGAAAGCAGTTATTGACAAATAAAATAAATAAATAAATAAATAAATTTATTAAATTTCAGTGAGGTTTCAGATATATTATTTCATGCATTTCCTTTCTTTCAACATCCAAGAATATAAATTCAAAAAAAAAAAAAAAAAAAAATGAGAGTCGCGTAATTTGAAGTTTTACTTCTGATTCTTCTTTTGCTTATTCAGAAAGCTGAAAACTAGGAAGTAGGTTTTGATCCTATATCGCTTTCGTAGAACAGTTCATTAGTCTTAACTAATATCGTTTGGGGATTCAATTTTGCCTCACTTCACTGTCTCATATTTTGCTTCTTGGAATCAAGTATTTATTTATCAATAATACTCATTTCCAGCTTCTTTATAATAAGGTCTTACTTTATAACTGTTTCACAATACGTTAGTTGAAAATGTTTTTAAAAATGTTGGAGTTAACGATGAGGATTAAATCAGAATTTTCAATAGATGATGGAAAACACAGTACAATTTGCATCTTCATGCTTTTTCTTGTAGTGCCCGTTTTGTTTTCTCACTAGAAATAACTGCAGAGGGCAAAAAGGGCCAAAGCTGAAAGCGCCCATATATAAATTGTTTGAAGCAAATATTTTGATGGTGCTCTGATTGGCTGAGCAAGAAATTACCCGACCGAAGAAGCTTTGCCTTTTTAATCCTTTTCAATCCTGGAGACGCACGAACACCCCGCTGGGAAAGCGTTACCAGTCGGAAACGAAACCACAAATTTTCTTCCTTCTCTCTTCCGTTGATCCATTTCTTTCAAATTGGGTTTCTCGTTTGTCTACACTTTATATAGTCGCAATTTTGAAATTTGTGTACTTGCATCATTAGTTTTTTATAGTGAAATACTTTGCTACCAATGTTTAGTGTAACTGATCTATCTTCAGGTATTCCAATTTCCGGAGTGAAGTCAATTTTGGAAAAAATATGTTGTACAGATTTGAGACGATTTTGTTACGTTAGTATGGTGACAACCGATAGGATGACAGTTATCTGTTATGTCATTTTTTGGGGCGTCCTTTGTTTAAAGGCCACAGCATATATCATCATTGAAAACACTGATTGTTCCTTTGGAAAGATAGCTAAATAATATCTACAGAAATTTGATACTATGGTTGAGTCTTCTTGAAAGACAATTAGTTCTTGTGAGCTAAGAAGGTACTAATATCAGTAATATATTACAACTTCCACAGAGGTTACGCGTGGACAGTAGGAAAAGTACTGGAAAGCGGCTGCAGAAATTTCTAGATATATGATTTCCACTTTTTTGGGTTAGGCATCAATTTACAATTTAATTGCTCAGCTAATAAAGTCAGGAAACTCCGAAAAAAATTATGATTACCGCTTGGTAACACTATAACTGAAATACCGAAATATTTTATCGAATTACAAGTTTTCACCAAATTTTGAGCACAAAAATTATTGATGATTTTATGCAAATTATGACGACATCCAGATATCAGTTTAAAAGGCTTATGCCTAAGCCTCCCGTCTTTTCCTAAAAAAAGAATTCATCAGTCTGTAAAAAATCTGACGCACAAGGATGTGAAAATTTTGGTCGAAAATATGTTTGAATCGAATTTAGAGTAGCAAAATAAAATATCAATGACTCAAATGTGCTCTCTTCGGTCTCAGAATGTTATAACGTAATAACGAACGGTTGCTAGATTTCAAATGAACAAGTTTTACTCTTATTATGATCATAGGATAATTGCTCCAAGTGCAGCTCTGAAAGGCAAATACAAAATTAAAGAAGAATTTCAGGTATTTTCACCAATGTTTCACTTTATATAGTCGCAATTTTGAAATTTGTGTACTTGCATCATTGGTTTTTTATAGTGAAATACTTTGCTACCAATGTTTAGTGTAACTGATCTATCTTCAGGTATTCCAATTTCCGTAATGATCAATAAAAGGCTACACGACTGTGCCGATAGAACAACTCTTCCCACAAACAACAAATCTTCTTCACAAATTACAACAAGGAATGCTTTGCAGAGAAGGCAATGTTGACCAGTCTTTATTTTATTAAGATAAAAGTTGTCACTGAACATAGAATAGGAACTGTATGATTACTGTGAGTAAACAGCTGTTCCTAATCAGCTGCTCATAGTAGTGAATTACAATTCTCAGACATTGCAAGTAAATTTGGTTTAGAACAAAGAAGGTTGGTTGAAGCAAAGAATAGTCAAATCTGAGTTTGGCTTTTAGGCTGGAAGATCTTGATAATAAGTAATGCACATATTCTTTGTTAGCAAACTGTGAAACTCCAGACAATGCAGATGATTATTGCATAACGGATTTGATGATTGAAAACATTTATCTAAAAATACGACGATAATCTTTAATCTTATGGATTTAAAACAAATTTATTGCGACATATTATTTCGTTTCTTTTTTTTTTTTTGACATAAATACATAATGATCGACTAGAGAAATTCTGAACGCTGACTTTATTACAGTAGGAAGTCGAATTCATAGAAAGCCCTATTCTGAGAAAAGTGTTTGAACATTTAAGGCTTAGTTCATCATTAATGACTGGAAAGATGCTTGAAAACTCAGATGAAGTACTGATGCATTTCAGATGCTGCATAATAGTTGGAAATTTAAGAAAACACGGCAAAGCTGCTTTGCATTTGCAACGGTCGGACTTATTGCCGTTAATATTAGGAAAGCGAGCTTATGGACTATTCTGCTTTAAAAGCGCTCAAGATATAGATAGAAAGTTTGTAAAGATTGTTAATCTTGTCATAATCAAATTTATGTCTTGTATAGTGTATCTGATAATGGTATTGAATTTGCGAGTAAATGGTATTTGAATTCATTCTGCAATGGAACAAGATTTTCGTAGAAAATGACTTCCAAGAAACAGAAACTTTTTGAAAATAGAAGGAGAATAATGTGATCAGAAGTTACATGCTTAACCATTCAAACACAAAGATTATGTGTGAAAAGCACTGTAAAAATAACTTTGTTTTTTGTTGGATAAAAATAATTTGAAAACGTATTAGCAATATCGACTTACTGTCACTAAGCATTTTGATATTGTTGGTATGGAGTCTTTTCCCAACTTATTTTCAATAATTTTTATATTGGATATAAGGAAGAAGTCGTATTAGAAGATGCACATACAGTTTTATTATTTATCATTGATCTTTATTTTCGAGGGAATTTATGTTGGCGTGCTTTACATGACAATAAAAACACACGTTGTCTTGGAAATGGGACCTATTCTATCACTTTTGGGATAATTCTGATTCCCAATATGGAAGTCTTTGGTTATCATTTTGCAAAAAGCATGAATTTATTTCCCAGCAGCTTTAAGATGAATTTCACAGCCATTACTCAACACTCAACTCTATTGCTATACCTTGCTGTTGCCACGATTGAGTAGCAATAGTACAACAGCTTCACAGGTGTTGGAAGAAATTTTCAGTATGGAAAAACATGGAAGCTTGAGACACAATGGACAGTGCCCGAGTCAGACATCGCATCCTTGGTTCACAAAAGGAGTGCTCTCCGTTCAAAAACCTCCATGCCTATGTACTAATTCCATATCTTTTTTCATCCTCCGAATTTGGTTTCATCATTTATTTACCATCTTGTCCGTTGTCCTATTCACCGGTTACTTTATGCCAATACTGTCTATTCTAGCAGAAGTTACCTAATAGCCATTGCTTTACAAAGCTTGTCTCACAATTGCTCGAAACCGAGTTCTGGTTCTTCTGTAAATTCATTACTTCATACTGCATAATAAACTGTAAAGTGATTTAAAGATTCAGTTCATTCAAGTGAATTATGCCAGGATCAACAAAATCACAGCACTCATCTCTAATCTCCATTAATTGACAAGCTACCTTTTTTTTAAATGTTCGCTTCAGTCAACTTGTAACTGCGTTTTAAAAACTACTGTGCAATCAGATACGTGTACAAAACCTCAACAATATAAAGGACATCTGATGTTGCTACACTCGAAATAGCACGCAAATTATCTATGCGCTTGCCAATTTTAGGATGTAAATAACTCACGTGACTCAAAATCCTCAAAACTTGTTGAAATGAAAGTGGTCTTTCGACGGGAAAGCTCTGTTCGGAACGTTTTCAACAATGGTCGACGTGGAGGGCCATTGGAAGACGTAGGTTGAACCACTTTAGGTGTCAGTCATCTTCACTTGAAGGATAACGACTGCTTCTATATACGTGATCTATTAAGTCAGAAGATTCATTGCTGTAACAGTGCTGTAGCCAAATGTGCCTTCTGAAAATGGTATATGAAGCGTTTCCCCAGCTTACTTTCCGAATTGTTTTTACATATGATAGCAACTTCGCAAGTATGTTATTACATCGAAATAACAAGAGATAAATTAAGGCATAAATACAAATAAAATATAAAATTGCAGCTAATCACAGAAGTCACTTCTTTTTTATCCCAGTGAAGGTCTTGACTCCTAAAGTGTGCAACCGGAATTCGACACTGTGGTACAATCAAAAATATAAATTACGAAGTACATTTGAAAACATAGAATAAATAATCCTATGCCAATGTAATGAAACCACTGATGATCAGACAACAAAATGAACACTATTCACAGCGGTGAATAGAGGAATGGTCGCCAAAGATATGTATGCAATGATCATTAAATGAACACAACAAGAAAAAATCACAGAATCAATGTGGTAATTTATCAACTGAAATGCAGTATCTCCTTTTAAGCAATACAACAACTTTTATAAAAATTATGTTTTACAATAATCTCGTAATCTTCATTAATGTAATTCACGATTCTTATTTTCATTGTTCATTGCATCTTTTAACTGATTACATAAAAGGAGCACGAGTATAAAGAGAGCATGTTAAAAACAAGATCAATGAGCAGAATTATTCATGGTTTTTCAGTGGCTCTACTGATGACATTTCCTTCACATTCGGCGTATAATCACGTGCCATCAAACACGCAAAGACGGTCATCACCATTCTCGGTTTAACCTAAAAAACTTATATGTCAAAAGTCTAAATGAAACTTCAGATAACAATTTTTATGCAAATGAAAAAGTAATGAACCTCAACTATGTCTTCTGGTAAAGCATAGATTTTTGCACCAATTTTGCGTCCTGACGTGATTGCGTATTTTGCATTTTCTAAATTATCCTGTAAGAAGATAACTGATTTGGAATTTTTATTTTTTAGCAACACAAACGAACAGTAAACTTAATTGAAAGTATCATATTTCATATAGTCATTTCATCGTGAAACAAAGCTGAAATAGAGAGTTAAAGTACATAAATCAATAGCTAAAGATAAAAATAACCTCGGCAGTACCAGTTTTTACGAGTGAGTAACTGATTGTGCCTGGCTTGATTGATTCAATAAGATCGAGAACAACACAAGCGTCAGAAATTGTTGGATCTTGAAAGCTCTTTATAGATCTTTTTCGCTCAGAAGAGGCTAACTGCAAACGAGAAAAGCGATCATCAGCACACATTCACAGATTTTCAAAAATGATCTGTCATGGTCATAAAGTTTCAAATGAAGATAAAAAAAATCAAACACATAAAATCTGCAAACTTTTACAAGGTGTTACAATATTGCTACATTGACGAGGAAAGTACTGTTCACGGAACGTACTTTTTTATTCACCCATGCAATAATTTCTTTATCAGTTGCCAAAGAATCACCACTCTGTGTACACTGCGCTAACACAGTCAAAGTATAAGCACGCATAAGCTGCCAAACCAAAGCTGAAAAGAAAGTACACTGTGCAACATTTGACAATGTCAAAATCTCCCTCATTTTAACACTGATGCTTTTATTTCTAAAGCTCTTCAAAATCTCCCAAAATAATGCTTCCTATCTTATAATCATATTTAATCAGCGTATTCATCTTAGTAATAACCATTAATAAACGTCTATTCCGAATAACTGATCTTACGTATAGTTTCTCCGAAATTATGAGTAAGCAAACCAAGTGTAAGCGTTTGATTGCCATCATAAATGTCTTTGCCCTGTATTCCAACCAAAGAAAATCGCAGCTGTTTACCAAGCTCAATTGCATAGTTGCAGTTCTGGATTTGGTCCATCATACCTTTTAATTTGGAAAACTTCTTAACCACACGTTTCCAATTCACTATTCCGGGGCGAATTATATCATAAAGCTGAAAAAACCCCAACAGTTCAATAATGGCGTATAGTGTCAAGCCCACAAACCAGTTATTTTTTGTTTGTTTGTTAGCTAGATGGCGACTTTCTTATAAATTATCCACTAAAGTTGTCCCTCATAACCACATTAAATATGCTGAAACTAACTTGAAAAATAATAACACCGCTGCAAAGATCGCTATAGAGCCAATTGACGTGTGGGTCAACACCCATACTGTTCATCCAATTTCTATACGTCTTTTCCTCACGTGTTTCATCAACAGCATCAATTTCTGGAAAAACTGAAACCTTACTGCATTAAAAGAAGACATTAAAACAAGAATGGAACTAACAAGCAAGTCCGAATTCTTTAGTGAAGCATGACCATGACGAAGCTCTTAATAAAATGAAAAAAAACCTTCTTTCCTTCCCTACTAAAATCATAACTTATGATTTAATAGGTTAGAACTACCCTTGTTCCTCATTCATCGCTCTTGATGCGATGACCATAAAACTCACCAAACTCATCTGCTCCTGGTTCCGGAAGGCTTGGATATTTATTGAAAAGATTGGCAACAAATGCTAGATTTAATTTATAGTTCCCTTGAGCAACATCGTTCGGTGCAACAAATTCACGACAGTCTATTTTCTCAGCTTCATTTAACATAGCCGCTGCTCTTTGTATATTTCCCTGTAAGGATGATTAAATGCCCTTTCTTCTTCACTAAATACCCTTTCTTTATTATTATTATTGTTATCAGTTTTTATCATTAATTATTATTTATCATTATTATTCTTATTATCATCATTTATCATTGCTTATTATTGTCATTAATAATAACAACAATAATGATAAATTGATAATAATAATAATAATTATTATTATTATTATATAATGACTGGTAACACTTAAATTTTCAACCTTATTTTCATAATTGCATATATACAAAAGACTTGATGGATGTGAAGTAAGACATATTTGATTGTAAAGATTGTTCAAGTGCATATTCTATATGACAACATAAGTAAATACTAAGAACTTTCCTATGGTGAATTACACCTAAATTGTGAAATTCCTAATCTGATCCAAAAAATTTTAATATGTCTCTTTATAAATTATATTTATGTTAAAACATTTACATTTAGCTTGTTTTTTACCTTAAACTACTTGCAGTGAGACTATTAAGTTTTAAAACATCATAACAGGCAAAGACATGTGATGTCTGCCTCCCACTTGCGCAGTGCAGTAGCAATATTCAAATGTGAAAAAAATAATGTAGACATTTTAGCAACAATGAACAGAGATGTATTGCACAATTAAACTAATCGAAAATCCTTCCAAACAGTGAAGTGAATGAGCAACTAATGGTAAACAGGTGAATAGAACCAAAGAAATACCAAATTCTTAGGTACGTTGGAAGATAATTGAAGAAAACAGCAAATAAAGATAACAGGATTAAAAAAAAAACAATAGCACTGGCTTTGATAAAACCATATAATCTTCGAAAACAGACAAGAAAACCGTGTATTGTAGCATAAAATTCTACTACGCAAAACAAGTCAATATTGATTTTAACCGACAGCGCTTTTAAATGCTGCCACCGATTAAAATTAAGAAATGAGAAACTTAACATACCTTAACAGAAAGCGGATAAAGGGAGACATTAGCCGCTTTTGGGGCAATTTCACTAAGTAAATAAGTATAAATTTCCGAGTCGATAACATCTGCGGTAAAATTCGTTAACGTCCGATTCAAGCCAACCTTTAAATATTTTAGATCAAATAAATGAATATAAAATAAAATCACATTGAATTTGCCTTTATTCCATCAAAATCGCCGTGGTTAACAAACAGCAACACTAAATATAAAATGTTGAATACAACCAATTAAAAAATTCATATAAAGAAATTACCAACTCCTGCACTTTTCATGCTTCAAACGCTACTTGTGGCTCGAAAAAATTTTTAAAGAATAAACCAAATGTCGTCTCATTTTTGGTGGCAGAAGTAGAAACTTATGGTATCTAAGTGAACTGCAAAAGAATACCTTTGCTAAATGATAATTAACCCAACGTATCAGGATTTGTTCCGGTGAAAGCTTGCGTAAATCATCCAATGTCTCACCCTCTTGCAACAGTCGAAATAGTCCAGGTACATGTCTTAAGTCAATTTGATTGAATAAACCGATCTATAATACTTGAAAGAATCACTTAACAGTCTTCAGTCAAGCATCTACTTAGTGTTATTTATAAATATTTCTATAGCAAAAACCAACAGATGTGCAGTTCAGCTACTTAACCTTAAATGTTTAAGATACAACTACAACAAGAATTCCACTGTGCTATGTTAAACACGATTCAAAAATGAGATAATGATAGAAAGCTTGATTTCACTTCTTTCAGAGAAAAATATTGAATCATAACACAGTTCGAAAATTACAAAACTTACCCGAATGATCTGCCACAGAAGGCCAAGTACCAGATGTGGCTTGCCTTTACTCAGATCATCGCCATCGATATTAACGATATTACAACCAATGGCTTGCGCTGACATAAGTGCTAGTGTCAAATTCTCCAGTTTTGTATATGTGTTCAAATGCTTTTTGTTAATGGCTCTTTCATCAATGGTATCAGGTACTGCCAAATTGATGAGTTTACTATAAACAGCATTCAAAGCAATGACCACAATCTAATTTAGTTGCTAACACCAGCTGATATGCTGCAATATTCGACTTCTCTCTTCCACTTCCTTAAAATGCAAACCGGACAGAAAAATTTGGTATGGCAAACAAAGAAACATTACCACATAATAAGGCCGTCTTGCACTTTATGATAAAGATCTCCACCATCAGTTTTTACAGGCACCAAATTTTTCAAATCTGCATCATCGCACAAATTACTGTTGATCCAGTTTGAAAAAGCTACTTCCTCCTTCAAAAAAGTTTATGTTTCCAAGACATTTTAATTCCAAGAGGAACCAAAACAACTTTGTGGGCTTGTTTTAGAAGTA